AATTTTAATCTAAGCTGACTCAGTAATACCTTGTAACTCATTGTAACAAATTCAAATATCAACAGCGATAACAAAAAGACATAACTGCAAATTGTCAGAGCTAGTAGGATTTAATGCAGGATGCAACTGGAGACCAGAAACAAATCCTGTCTTACAACCACAAAACCCTTTGTTTAAAAACTACCTAAGTGATTTGCATTCTGGTAAGGAAATGGAAAGGGAAAATTATAGTAAAGGCTGAAATTATAAGCAACTGTTTAATTTAAATAATAACTGTAGATATCTTCAAAGAATAATTTTCTTTCCTTTTATGTATTCGGTTTCTTCAATACATTTCCTTTTCATTTTAGAATTTTTGGATTTAATTAAAGATTTCTGTTAATCTAAAAAACTAAATGCATTTAGAACGTATAGAAAAAGGTGCTAATTTTATTTCGTTAGTGATATGAATATTCAGAATAAATATGAAATTATATATAGTAAGAGGCGGTTACACAGCCGATGTGGCAGAATTTTTAGAATTTAGTGACACACCTAACACCAAAATCTAGATATGGCAAAACTTTTAGAATTTAGGAATGCACTAGGCAGCAGCATTTAGGACCCATAGACATTGCATCAGGTGGGAAAACGCCTGACGCCAGACTGTGTATGATGTATTGAGACATGGAAGATAAATCTCTTAAACTGTCAGTTTCGAATTCTTTATTAATAGAAAAATTCCTTTCTTTATATTTCCCTCTCCATGTGACAAGATTAGAAGCATTTTTGATATTTTCCACGCTTGTGTCTAGTGAAAAGTACAGAAAACAAAAGGGAAGATAAAGATGCTAAGAAAAAGGCTTCTAGTATCAGAAGTAAAACATTCAAATATTGTGTTTTCAATTGCTCTCCAAAAAGTACGAAATTCACCAAGATTATTTAAAATACATCCATTATGTGTTAATACCAAGAAGACATTTTTCTGGAATCTTCAAGATTTTGGTAAATTTGTGAGTCTGTAAATCCTGCCTTCAAATCCTTTTAAACTTTTTAAGTTGCAATGTCTAACATCCTAGAGAAAAATTACCCCTACCAATTCTGTAACAGCCAAAAGGCCAGATATAAGTCGAGGGGGAAACAGAGGCAAAAAAGTGTAAAATTAATTTTATAGAGAAAACATACAGCATATTCTAAGACAATTACATGGGAAAAACTCTTCACATGAAAAAATTAAAATGAAGACATTTTAATTAATTTACATAGTTACTTTGCTTTTGCTAAGAATTGTCACGTAAATTGTGCAGCATTTATTACCTTGTTTATTTTTCTGATTCAAAATGTTTAATAAGTTGCCAAAATGGACAGTAATACCACTTTATAATATTATAGCGAAAAATGAAAATGTTTCACTTTAATGTTATTTCTTGAATATAATTTCAATGTATTAGCATTATTTTAATGAAATTTATTAATGTTGTAATGTTTTAAAAAATTCCCAGATTTCCAAATTAAAAGTTTTCTACAGAAACTGATCGTAAAATTGCCAAATTTGGAATCGTTTAATAAAGAATTCACATTCCCAAAAGCAAAAAGCTCATTAGAAAAAAATTAAATAATTTTGAAATGCCTATGTTTCAGGCCTTGCTCAGAAACTTGAATATCACACACTTTATATTAGAAATAGGATCAAATTATAATCCATGAACTTATTTACCCATCCAAAAGATAACTATATTTATCAATGAATCGCCAAAAAATAATTCTCCAAAATGCTAATTCAACATTCAAAATGGCAGTCATGAAAACAGACAAATTTGAGATTATTAAAATTAAGGACCTTTTCAGATTTTGGCTGAAATTAAGGAATTTTAAGGACCAAAAAATCCTAAGGACCGTACAAACCATGGTTACAATTTTGTGCAAGTTCGTCATTTTCCCACAACAGCGTTTTCTGCCTCCCAAAACAAAAAGGGGAGAATTTTGTTTCTGTCTCTGAGGGAAAGGATCAGTGGCCTTCACTTGATCAGCTGTGTTTGACCGCATTATTTATAGGCAAGGCAAAATAAGGGAAACAAACATATAGTTCAACCGTCTCAAGCGCAACGCTGGTTGGCATTCTGTCAAAACACATACTCGTCCAAAAGGGGCAGTATTACTTGCTGTGACGTGAAAGGTCTTCTCTTCTTTGGAAAGAGCTATACTGGAGGGAAAGAAAGTCAACATCCTTCCACCCTATTTTGAGAATAATTCGGTCCAAATGGTACATGCGTATTTGCGCTCATGGTCGCAGAAGAGGCGGCCGAACTATACCTCTATGTTTTCCTTTTTATCTGCTTGGCTCGGTGAAACAGCGGGCACTTGCGGAAAATATTTTTGCTTTTTTTGAAGAAGCACAGTAGAATATAAAGCACACAATAAACGCACACAAATCACTGAATACACGATGCTGTAAACAAAATCACTACATAGTTGTCACACTAACACAAACACCACTGAAAGTGAGAATTATGCTTCTGTATTGGAGAAAACCTTTAAAAAAGATAGGTGCCTTTGTTCGGATTTTCTGGGGAAAACGAAAGTGGCATGAAAGATCTCTGCTTTACATTCCACATCAAGACTGTTGTCGGAGTAGATGAATTTAATGTATGCTTTGCAACAGCAGTAGCTTGATATTTTTTTTTATCTGCTGCATTACATCAGGCTGTATAAGATATGTTTCTTAGCATAAAAAGCTTCTATCGCAATATCCATATGAAGCATTTCACTGTGCAGTTGAATTTCCAGATGATAGACAATTGGGTGAAGATGCAGGTAGGTTGGTAGTTAATGAAGGCTTTGCCGGACAAATTACACGAAGCAATTACGTGACGATGGAGTTAATTAATGAAGTTTTTCTGGACGAATTGCCCCATAGCTGTTAGAGGTGTTCATGACAGTTTAGTTTGTTAATGCAGTTGTCAGTCCTTAGTCACCACTGCGAGGTGACTGGTGGCAGGAAGCATTTTTAACTCGATATGATGATTAGTATAGTTTTGAGGTTGCATAATACTTACTGCATTATTGAACTCAACATATTTATTACAATTAAAGAAATTCTTTACAAATATATATAATTCATGGATAGCATAGAACAGTTATTGAAGTGTACAGCCCTCGTGATGTGAGGAACCTGCTAACAAAGGAATCTCTTGTTGAGAGTTCAAGACCATTCTGACGTGTTGCTCCGATGAAAACAAGCGGCAAAACTGAATTAGCCACGCCTTCTTAATTTTTCAGCAATATTTTACATCCTCAGATTGGTTATATCTGGAACAATACCAGAGAAAAAACAAGATTATTGGTTCATCAGTCCTCCTGAAATCGAGAGGCTTTGATGTGAGACATAGTGCAAAACACCAGTCTCCAGTCCAATCTCTCGACACCAGTTGTGAAGTTATGCCTCTTGCACTGTCAACTGGAACAAATTATTGTGTCTGCAATGTCAAAACCATGTCGCGTGATATATTGCAAAAGCTTGGAAATAGTAACTTGAGGGAACGCACACACAATTTTCTCATCTCTGTATTGCCTGCTACAATATTAAGTTCCTTCCACTAATTCCTTCATGATAGCCTTATTTCGACCATGTTACCTAATATTACTGAAGTGATGAAACCAATACAGTCAAAAGTCGTTAATCCGGACTCGTCAGGACTTCAACGATTCCGAATTATTGATTTTTCCGGATTATAGATCATCAGTTTAAATCTTGTAAGATGGCACGCAGAAATTCTAAAATTAAAAATATGAAATTGTAATTTATGAAATAAAGAACAATTATGGTCTAAAGGGTATCAAAATTTAACAAAAAAAAAAAAAAAAAAAAAAGCTTAATATTTATTTGTTTACTTTATTAAACATTTCTTTCAATGTAAGTTGTTTAAGTTGCTTTCGTTTTATGTGATAATACTTTCTCTTTAATTCTATAAACAGACATAATTTCTTGTTCAGTTACAAAGTTCCGCTGTTCAAGTCCCGTAATTGCTGTGCCGAGAATACCGACTAACTTGTCAATCGAAATTTTTTTCGTTTTCTAACCTCTCACCTTCTTCATGTTTTTATCCATTTTTTGCAGCAATTCCACTTTTTGTTTGATGGACATCGAAACATACTTCGTTTTGTAGATCCTTTGGGAGCTCCAGCATCGGAAATTCTATTTGACATAATCAAAAGTTCAAATTTACTTCTATAACATTGCTCTTACAGTCTGCAAAAAATAATAAGCCGCATCCAGTTCGATGATTAAGGAACAACGCAATCATCAACATTAACTGAAATAGATAATTTTACCTTATACCGTCCGTTATACATTAAACACGCACGCGAAAACGTATTCTACGCTTGCGCACACGCATATGCTCAGTCGTAAAGGTCTTACGTGCACGTGTAAACGCCTATGCGCATGTGTCAACTCGGCGCATGCGCAGAAAGTTTTTAGCTTTGAGTTCCGGATTATGGGTGTCCGAATTAACGACTTTTGACTGTATTAGGAAGTGTGTTCTCATACTGCATTATTGCCCTATATGCCATATATCATTCGATAAAAAGAAAAAGTCTGATATGCTCTTTTTGGAATTCCCCCCCTCTCTTATCATTTACAGGAAACATGCAGATCTCTAACCAATACCTTTAACTAAAACCTAGATACATTTGTTCATTATAATTTTTTAGTCATGAATATAACCAACTTTCAAACTTTATGTAAAATCCCGAGTCAACCAAATCATAACATACTTAAATTTTGGAAAGCAATATTATCGCACAGTACTTGAATACTTAGATTATTCATTTGCTAAAAATTATATTTCATTAAAGTAATAACAATAGAAAATAACTTGTTCTGTCTGTTCTCTTTCTTCTTTGATTATCATTAATAAATATTATTTTATTAAAAAAATTACATTTCTTGATTAAGAAATAAAAGCAAAAGGCATAGCTTTGTGCATAAACATAATTAAATACAAATTTAATATCCTTACCCTTCTGGCAGCTCATCAGGATTAAGAGCCAAATTCCCTAATCTGTCTACAACTACATTTACATTTCCTGAGCCATGACCATCTTGTGAAAGAAGACTAATTACAATTTGACCTTTTACAGGTTCAGGATCATCTGCATGTCCTCTGGATAAATCTAGCCTTTGATCTGAAGAAGAAAAAATTTAAAAAAAAAAAAAAAAAAAAAAAAAAAAAAAAAAAAAAAAAAAAGAGTAAAATAAAAATAAAAGCATGGGGATAAAAATTTATTCAGCCATTTGTCTGACGGTTAACATCAAACCAAGTACATAAATTCTATCATGATCTAGAGGCATCATTCGCTCATGCCTTGAGCACCTTATGGTAGATAATACAAATTGCACATCCCCATGTCAGTTTTGAAAGAGAAGCCCTTGAGGGGCATATAAATCTGAGCATTTCTGACACTTCTTCCCTATTCACCAATCTCACATGAAGGCTTTCAGCTCGAGAACAATATAAGTGCCCTCCATGCTATAAAGACTATTATACACTTACAAACATCCATATTTTTTCTCCAGCATTCATATCAAGGCCCAAGGCCACTTTATCACATGCTAACAGTATGCCATATAATTTCCTAAATATATCTAAGGAATTTCCCATAAATTGCACATTAAAAATTATTTATTTATAATTAATCATTTAAAAATAAAGAAATGATATATACTACTGTGGAAGAACAAACTACAATACCAAGGACTGATATTATTGGCTTGCACTTCAGAAAATTGAAAAGCTGTTACTAATGCACAAATCATTATGTTCAATAAAATATTCACTAATGCTCACAGGATGACATTATCATGTCTGTAAATTATATTAAAGTGACAGCAAAGCTTTTGGCACTTAAAATGACACTTTGATAATCTGCTAGCAATCCAAATGCTTTAACACAAGCACTTAATTTAAGTAAGCTTAATTTAACAGAGGAAGATTGTTCATTAAAATTCTAGTACTATTCTCAGCTGCAATACGTCCAATAACACTGGCATGATCTCGGAAAATTCATCCATAACAGAACAAAAGGATATAATCTGAGGTATACCTGCCAACCTCTAAAGATAAAAATTCAGAAGATTTCTCCAAAATTCAGAAGAACACGAAGAAATAATATCATGCTTTGATATTAAAAAAATAACAATTTATACAAATAGAAAAAAGAAAATTGTACTTACATTAGTAAATCTGAATTAAGTAGTAACTAAAAAATAATTTATTAGGAAACATAAAACAAGAACTTAATGTTACACACACACACACACACACACACACACACACACACACACACACACACACACACACACACACACACACACACACACACACAAAATTCTTTGGAAAATTTCCTGTCATAACAATTAGTTTCCTCATAACATTTAGCAATTAAAATGATTTCTAGAGTTTTTGATGAAATTGAAGAACGAAACAGTTTTATTTTTCTTCACAACACTGAAGACTCTCTCGCACTCAGCATTACTGTGTGGAATTACGAGAATAGCACATAAAACTATTGCTAGTCTATCATATTTTGGTGTTCCATCAGCTCTTTTTATTCTTTTTAAGGTACCAACGAGGACATCAAGTCTATCTTCTCCAGAACTGGCGAAGTCTTCAAACTGTGTAAACAAACATTCTGCCAAAAATTACATCGGCATCCGAATTCGTGGCCGAATTTGAAAAAAAATCAACCACTTTCTTTGACGTTGTCGAAGCCGAAGCATTAAACTCATCATGCTTTTAGACTTAACATGCTTCACAATGTCGCTTCTTCCACCGTGACTTATTATGAAGTCACACACGCACACGTTGCAAAATGCATAGTTATTTCCTTTGAAGGATTCTTTAATTGTTGGAAATTCGACTTTGTAGGCAGGCCGAAAATATTGAGAATACGGTTTTTTTGAACTCATTTCGTAATAACGACGTATTAAGAAAATTCGTAGCACGTAGGGAAAAAAAAAAAAAAAAAAAAAGACTATCCACGCTGAAAAAATAACCTGGCCCAAGGCGTTTTGCTTCCGGAGTACCTTTGCAAATAAATGCAATAACCTCCACAACTTTGCTAAGAAAATAAATTGAATAATTAAGAGTGAACATAGCTAAAGTGAAGAACGAAACTGTTAAGGGTTTAAATACCAGAAGTGAATGAGAAGTCCACTCAAGGGACGAAAAATTCCTTCATCATTCAATTTCGTTTAGGAAAGGGGAACTGCTACCTGGCGCCCACACAGAAAAGAGTAGGAGAAACAAGTTCAGCGCATTGGATTGGCTGGTTAAGCGGCGAGTTGGGAGAAACCGCAGGTTATTGGATTCGAAGTAGTCGGTAGTTGGCAGTAAAACACGATGCAATTGGCGAAAATCGCTGAATTGGCGAAAAATTCTAAAATTTCGACAAAAATCACTAAAAACACTTGAAAAAAAAGAAAAAAAAAATCGTAAAAAATGGATTACGATCGTAAAATCGTAAAAACAAATGCATTTTCGTAAAAATTACGAAAAATTCATAAAAGTTGGCAGGTATGTCTCAGGTAATAATTTCAAGTAACATACCATGTAACAATATCAAGACATTTTTCTACTTCAAATATAATGTAAATTTTGATAAAACATAAACTAGTCGTTGTAATTAAAGGATAATGAGAAAAAATATGTTCACTAAGATAATGTTGTAACTAATGGCAAATGCTGTAATTATTTATGTTAATTAAATACAATTGAACACAAAATTGCACTTTTTGCACATACATTAGTGCTGAATGCTGGAAATATGCAAATTCGGTGAAATGACAATGTGGTGTGCAATGGACGCATGTTGAAATTCCAGTCTGTAGTGTTTTTTAAAGAGAAGGTGGTTTCTGAGAGTGATCAGTATTCAGTAGTTATGACTGAAATGCATTTTTAAGTGAAGGTCAAAAGTGGTCAATAATTCTCAATTGTGTTTGACCTTCCTTGATTCTAAGGAACCAAGGAAGGTCAAACACAATTGAGAGGGACATCCCTCAAAGTGTCATATCAAGGAGTTTTGAGCCACTTTCTAAGCACTGGATCAGTTGATAGATAGCCTGGTCAAAGGTGACTACGAGCAACAACTACGTCAGAAGAGCGTTTTCCATTGTCGTCGGCTCTAAGAAACCGTAAAGTGACTACAAGAGATCTGGTTTTAGACCTTCAGGCTACCACAAGAACTCAAATGAGCTGTTCTACTGCTGCAAGAAGGCTCAAAGAAGTTGGACTGTACGCAAGAGAAAATCAATTGCTTGTGTTCCATTCACTCCGGAGGGGCCCTTGAAACATGTGCTATCGTCATTTCAATAGAGCGAAGAGGGCTGGGGCCAAGTACCGTTTATTGATGAGTTCAGCTACAGTCTCAACAGTTTTGATCTGGAGAAAGGAAGGAACATGCAACTTGCCTTCCCCTGTCTGAGAAATATCCCGTTCCCACTACCACAGTTTAATGGTTTGGGGAGATTTCAAGACAAATGGCTGCACCGAGCTGCATATCTTTCAAGGAGGTTCTGTAGCCACGTACAGATATGTGGACTAGATATTGGAAGCCCAAGTTAAGATCGTTTTAGGGTCGCTGTTATCCTAGAGTTTTTGCTAATGGATGACAATGCTTGGCTCCATTGGGCATATGCAGCGTCAGAATGCTTGCAAAGTGAATACACCACTCCAATTAATTGGCCCCCTTACCCGACTTGAACCCAATTCAGCATGCGTAGGATGCCTTAGGGTACCGAATTTCAGGGCACCAAATTCCTCCCCGGGCCCTCTAGGAGTTGAAAAGTGCACTTTTAGAAAAGTGGCATGCAATTCCACATGACTTCATAATACTTTGTTAAAGTCTATGAAATTAAGAAGTGAGGTATGCATATCTGTCTGAGGTGACCATAAACCAGATTAAAGGAAAATTTTTTCACAAGATGAGACTTGATTTTCCCACCATTTTCCAATTTCCACACATTTGTTTTAATTTCAATATTTTGCAAATAATCAACTGCCAAGTATTGTAATTCATGTTAATTAACACTTTTGTACAAATTTCTATTAATAATTTTTCATTAAGTATCAGTTACATTTTATTTCTGCTGTTATCCTTTAATTTTGATGACCAGAGTGTATTTTTACTTTCCTTTATTTATTTTATTCGTACATCATCTTTACAGGCATATACAAATATAGGTGAATCTGATAAACATTTTTATATAACATTAATTTTATCACAACATCACATATATCTGAAAACGTAATACTTACATCCAGTATCTTTCAGCCTCTGAATAGCTTTTGTCATTATGCGTACGCAACCAAGAAAGCCAGCACCTTGCTTTTTATGAATTTTTTTGTGATTCCATATACTTATTGTTATAGAATCATTGTTTCCTATGTATCTGAAACAGAAACATGTAAAAAATTATAATACACTTTGTTCTTGGTTTTTTTTTTTTTTTTTTTTTTTTTTTTAAATACAAAAACTTCTACATAGTTATATATAGTTAACATTTAAAAAAAAATGCTAAAGAAAAGTTTTAATAATTATGTTGAAGATGCTTCTTTATAATTAACATTTTTTTAAAATTTTAAACAAGAATTTTAATAATTATGTTAAATATGCTTAGAGAGAAATCAAATGATAGAGGATAAATAATACATCATTTAATTTCTCTTTTTAACTAGCCAATTAGATAATGATAAAGATTAATTTCTTAACATTAAAAAAAGCATCCTTTGTCATATGAACATTCACATCCATTTTTTTGCAACACATACAAATCTCAACCATACATGATGTTTTATAAACTGTGAATGTTTCAAACATGCAATAAATTAGTGAAAGCTGCAAAAAATATCAAAACTTTTGTCCTATTTCTTTGCATATACATTACCATCTAACAATGAAAAATCATATCTCTTAATAAAGGTTGGCCAGTGATAGTGAAAGTCGGCCACTTCGACTTTCTCCAGAGGCAGTCACAGAGGCAGTCGAAGTGGCCTGTTAAAATCCACAGATATTTCTGCTGATTTGGCCATCACATACCCATTGAATTTCTCTGTTTAGTTTAGTAGCTGTGTGGCTTGTTTAATTAAACTTTTGACTTAACATAATCCCATAAAATGAAAATGCAAGAGCTTGCAGGCCATTCCTGGCCACAAAGTGATTTCATGCACCCAGGGAAATGTTTATAAAAGGTTATAATCTTACAAGATGCTTGCAAGTAGCTCTATCCTACTTAAACCAGATACCTGTAGCACCTTTTCATTCAGAGCAGTTGATAGAAAGTTTGTGATTATGTCATGATAACAACCACTGCTTGCTGTTTCTTGCACTTGCATTTCTGATGATGCCTTTAAAAAATTATACGGCCATAATTGTTTCTTTAAAATCACATCAAAGAATGGTTTTTAAGGGGTTCGTTTGGTGCTCATAGATAAGCACAGGCTTCTTTCTTTCTTCTTTTTTTCTTACACTCATTTGAGACAAAACTCAAAAAATCTCTGTTTCTGATGGTCTGTTGGTTAAGTTGCAGCATCAGCTCAATCTTGTATGTGTGTGCATACAAAGGTCTTTTGTCAACGTTGAACCAAAGATGTCAACATTCCCAAGTGTTGTGAATGGCAGCAAAGTGAATTCATGCTGTCCTGCATCACTGCAACATTTTGTTGTGTGTTTGAAGTGTGGTTGTGGTGAGACTGTAGGTATTTGAAAGTGGTATGCAGAAATCTCAGTTAGTGGGAGAAATATTATTTTTATGGCACTTCTGTTTTATTTTTTCACTGGATACTGGATGTCTGGATTTCGGACTTTGTAACGTACAAGATAAATTCTTGAAACTAAGTTAGTTATAGGACAGAGAGGAAGAATGCCCAGGATGTTTAAATAAAATCAAAATTCTGTTAAGCACTGTTCAAGGTTGTATAAAACAGATGAGTGAATACAACTTTAGTTCAGCTGACTTCTATTAAAATTTAAATTTGCTTTTACAAAAACTTATTACAACTTTGATTTAACCAATATCTACGGGGGTTGTAAATTAAATAGTGGCAACTTAGCCTTGAAACTCGCAGAAGGGTGGGCATGTGCAAATAGGATATGGGGGCGGTGAGGTGGTGCTGTTGTCAATGTGTAGAGTGCAAAAAACAGTTGATCTGCTTAGAAGGGTAGTTGCTGTGTGGCGTTAAAGTGAGGTGTTTCATTTCCATCGCTCTAAAGCATGTTTTCAAAAGATAATCAGCGGTCGTGGCTTAAAATCGAGGTTGCCTGTGGCAAAAATGCAACAGAATACCATCGACGATTAGTGGAAGCCTGTGGCACAAATGCTTTACCATATAGGACAGTAGCACGATGGGTTCAAGCATTTCGTTCAGGTCGGAATGAGACTGCGGATTTGCAACGCACAGGTTGGTCCTCCATTCCTCAAGAGCAGATTGACATCCTTAGCAGTCTCCTTACCATAGACCACCGATGGACTGCCTGAGAATTATCCTTAGAGGTTGGTTTGTCATCAAACAGTGCGGCGCATAGTGACGAAATCTCTCAACATGAGAAAAATTGCTTCCTGTTGGGTTCCACATCGACTAACCGAAGTACAGAAATGGCACCGGTATGCACTGGCTGGCACCCACTTGAAGAGATACTACAATGAAGGAGATGCATTTCTGCAGCATATTGTTGCCATTGATGAGACATGGGCACGAGCCTATGAGCCTGAATTAAAGCTCCAATCAAATGAATGGCGTCACCAAGGTTTGCCTCGTCCACAGAAATTTTGACAAGAACCCAGTCGGGTGAAGGTTATGATGATTATGGCATACGACTTGGACAGTGCAATTCTTACACATGCTGTACCTGAAGGACAAACTGTCAACGCAGATTACTATTGGTGATTTCTACAGCACCATCTGCTTCCGGCTATGCGGCGCAAACATCCACGTTTATTGCACAACAATTTCCCTATCGTATTGCATGACAACACTCGTTGCCATGTCTCAAACAATGTCACTCTCCTTTTGCGATGGTGCCAGTGGGAAATCCTGGAACACCCTTCCCTATTCACCCAACATGAGTCCTTCTGGCTTTGATCTGTTTCTGAAGTTGAAGGAACCCCTCCGAGGTCACCGATTTCATGATGTTTCAACTGTACTCCACGCAGTAGGGTGCTCAGTCACTCACATCAACAATCAACACCTTGCCACTGGTCTACAACAGCTCCCAACATTTGGCAAAAGGTTATAAGCCTTGCTAGTGATTACATAGAAGGAATGTAATGTAATTGTACTTGTAAGTTCATTAAAAATTTATTTATACGTATGTTGCCATTACTTAATTTACAGCCCTCGTATTAAAATTCTTAATACAAAAACTATCTTCCACTTTAAAATAAAAGAAAACAACTCAGATTTATAAACTTACAAATCATAATGTTGATTCCATTTTGGATCAAGGGTATTTTTACATGTGTCTGTTGAATGGCACTGGCCTGATCCATCAACGCTAACTTTACAGAAGGGATCTGGCAATCCTTGACAAAGAAATAAAAAAATTAAGCATTATATATCTTTTTAAATATTACAAAAATAAATGCATGAATACTTTCACAGTTTTCATAACAGAAATAATATAATATTACAAAATTTATAACTCATCTGCAGATAATCTAAAAAGTTGATACAAAGTTTTACTTATACACATAAATATACCTTCATATGCACAGAAATAAAAATGCTTTTTTCTATACTAATGCATTGCAAATGTAATACAGAAAATGAAATTTTAGAAATATTTTACAAAAAGCACATTGAAAAACAATTTTTTTAACTACATTCTTGATAAAATACTGAAACACTTGCTAATTTTTTTTTTTCTTTAAAGGAAATGCTTCAGTCACTTCAAAAATAATTCTTTAATTTTGGAAAAACTGAAAAATTTGATTAATGAAACACTATTTTTGCATGTTTCTCTTAGATATACTACTTAGCCATAAACAATTTCAGAGCAATTCCTTCAACTATTATAAATCTATTAAAATATCCTTATTATCTCATATAACAAATGAAGGACTATGGTAATAGAAACTAACATGTCTCGACTTGTAAAGACCTCGTTTTATTCTAACCAATTATTTTAAGTTGAAAATCTTTCCTTTCACTTCTGATTTGAGTTATGTCAGTTTTAATGATGTAGTATGCAAATCTAAGTGATTTCAGAAGCAGTCTTAAGAGTTCATGAGGGGTAGTACGAGAGTTAGTTTCCAGTTTATGTCGCATGTTTGAAGTAGCCTTGTATGTGAAGATTGAGTGCTTGGTTACTCTCTTTAAGTTACTGATATTCTATGTTAAACTTTGCTGTGTGCAGACGATATAGCGGTTTAGATAAATAAAGAGCCAGTTGTGTAGCCCATCTTACTTATTTTACATTTTTAAAATTTTCTGTTCGAGTTACTTAGCCATAAGTGGTGGTAATTGTGAAAACCAAGTGAGTGCAACCCTTGTTAAGTTCAGTTATGATGCCAATTACCACCCGACCAGATACCTAAATAGCATTAAGTCTACTTTCCCCAATGAATTGTTAGGGGTTCAATCTTTTAGGGCCTTTTTTGTGAAGCGAAAAGAATAAAACTGTTAGTTACTTGTAATTGTAGATCATTTTAGCAAATGGATAGAAATAACTCCCCTGAAAAGGGCTTTCGCAAAAATAGTTGCAGATTAACTTCTAAATAAATTTATTTAAAAATATGGCTCATAATCATAATTGCTCTTTATTTCATAATTATGGTTTCATATTTTTAATTGTATAATTTCTGCATGCCATCTTACCAGATTTAAATTGATGATCTATAATTCAGAAAAATACCTAATCCGGAATCGCCGAAGTCCCGACGAGTCAGGATTAAAGACTTTGTACTGTATGTCAAATTATCAGCTTGGTTAAAAATAAAATGAGATATGAAATTTTTCATCTATATCGGTATGCAAAAGACATATGTAAAACAATGTTTTATAGAGTTCCATGTGCTATTTTACACATTACTTCATAAATTATTCATTAAAAAAAATTATCTCATGAACAGAATTGACACCTAATAATGCAACACATGCATCTGCACAGTTAGTGTCAAAATTAATAATAATTACTTAATTAACATGTAGGTAACTGGAAGGAGAGTGCTATTTCATGAGGTGGAAAAACCCTACAGCCGGACTTGCTTATGGCTACTGAACTTGCATATTATATACTTATATACTTGAATTTTTTTTCTATATACTTTATACTTGAATATGCATTTTCTATACACATATATATACTTGAATTTTTTTCTGTTTTATTTGACAGTGTAATAATTATTCTTTAAAATAATATTTCAGTCTTTTATTCCAGATACAATGACAAAACAATTGATAACATTATTTAACAGCTTAAAAGAATGATGAACAATATTCAAGTTTCTACAGCGGCATAAAAATCACTGTCCTAATGATCTTTAGTTACAATAGTGAAAGAAATTATTTTTAACTGACAATGCATATTCAGAACTTCATGATGGATCTATTGCTTCAGTTAAAAATAAATAAAATTAATCACTTCATACTTGTAAATGGAATTTTTTTTATACTTATTATCAAATATAGTCTAAACTATTACAGATAAGATGTTAGTTCCCTTTCAATATACTGCTAATTTGAAACACTGCATTACAATCCCACAATGACTTCTTCCAACTACAGATCAGCAAGCTGCACAATGAAATGAATACTACTGAATTACATATAGATTTGAATGACTTTGTATAAGAAAAATTAAGGCTTGCTTTCAAATATAGTGTCATGAGCTATATATTTTCATAATTTGAAATTCATCACAAAAACACAGATTTTGATAAAAGAGTAGTTTTACTTCTTTTATACTCCTCTCCTTTTCAATAAAACAGAATTTAAGAAATATATAAAAACTTACTAAACAGGTCTTTCTTTGCAAGATTTTTAGCACATAAAACTGTAAAAGAGGGAAAAGAATATATTAATAAATATATACATTTTTCAAAGTTGCATAAAACTTAAGAAAAATGTATAATGATAAACAGATCAGCTCATTCTACAGACAAAAATCAATACGACAAAAGAAAGCATATTTAAGAAACATGTAAAGGAAATTTAGCTGACTCTTTGGATAAAACATTACATGGAATCTACAAAATTAATCAATTTACTACTAATAAAATGAGTAATAATGCGAATACAATAATGTGAGCACAATAATGTGAGTACTATTTCTAAAATGAATCTCTTGGATAATAACAACATTAATTTAAATGCATATAAGAAGTAGGAAATAAATTAGAGAATAATAGTAAACAACTCAGTTCTGTCCAAATCAAACAAGAACAGTTAATTCAAATTCATAAGTTAATAAAAAATTACTTATTATGTTATTATTTTGAACTAATTAATTAACTGCAATACATATTTAATTAAAAATGTGAAACTACGTTGATGCTATGCATATCAAATTAGTTTTTTATACCTATTATGATATAAAACCATTCTGAAAATTGTACTTTTCACATATGGGCAGTCTAATATTTATAAAACATATTAGGACATTTTATTATTTATTAACATTAAAAGATTATATATATATTGCGTTGAACTATTTCGTGGAGCTACAGCTCCTGGTAACTTTTTAGCAAGGTCGCTGCAATGTTTCTACCTATTATTATTTCATATCTTTTTGCAGCATTATGTGCAAAAAGTTTTTAAGACCAAATAGGTCTTACGTCTCATTACTTGTTAACTTTACAATTTCTGTTTCAATTATATATATACATTATATATACATATGTGTGTGTAAGATAAAAACAAGAAACTCAAAATAACTAACTTTAATTTAGCTCTGTCCCTTTCCTGGAATATAAACTGCATTATGTCTATCTGCATTACCTTAAGACCTTGTCCAATTGCCATTCAGAACTTAAACAAAGGATTCAGTTCTTTCGATTTTTACATATAGGTCTCTGCTACTGCGCACTCACTTCCCTACTATCTCTCTTGGCGTGCTAGCGCATCGCATTGCTTTGCTGTATCATATATTGTCTAAAAATGTAATACGTGTATATAAATTTGTGAGGTGCTTGTCATATCCATGAAAAGGAGGCTATGATTCCTAAGGAATTATTCAGCAATAAATAAAATGATGTGGTTTTCCAAATGTCACATATATAGTCTTACCTCAAGGTATGCCTATTAAGATGATTTTAATTATCTCCTAGAGCACATTCAGCATAACATGCTTACATATGCACAAGCACTGTTTTATATGCAAATCCTTTTTTCTCTTTGAAAAACACTTAAAAAAATTACTGAGCACCTGCAGCTCAGATAATACTGGTCTTCTTTTGAAACATGAACATGTGCATCCATAAACATCATGAACACATCCATCCATACATTTCTGAATCCGGTCCTGATAACAGAAGAGTACCTATTTTCGTTCAGAGAACTGACTGTCTGAAGAATTGGGGGGGGGAGTTTAGAAATTCTGAAAAATCACGCAAGAGAATGGCATCGCCAAATAAAGTTATATATTTCCCTTATCTACAATGTTTCAGCAATAATTTTATTATTATGTACTTTTTAATGAGTAGGTAAAAAATTTGAAGTTGGCAAATAAGTAAAGTCATTTATACATTTTAAAAATCAGGAAATGTCCCCTTGCCATGATTCCAACTACATCAAAAAAGCACTTTATGAGGAGGGAGAAAATACCTTAAAACCTTTTCCCAAAGTGTGAAAATATATTGCTTTAGCTCTAGTTAACATACACAGTTTCTAAAAGGGTCCTTTTACATCATAATGAAAGGAAGTCGTTCTCCCTACATTTAACTATTTATAATGAATTTTTAATTTCTGTCATTGAATCATGCAGTAAATTTTAATGATGACCCCATAATTGAATTATACAACAAGAAATGTTACCTACTTGCTGCATCGCATGCAAATAATACAGCACACAAAATTTTCAAACAATGGTTGTCTTCTGGTAACAGGTTATGACTACTTTTAAAAATATTGTTAAAAACTTCTACTTTAAATCACCGATTTGCAATGACATCTCAACTTATGGTACTATGGGCAATGGCTAGGGAAGGCATATACTTCTGGAAAATTCACAGTTATTCTTGAAAAGTTTAATGTTGGTAAGGACTTGAGAATAGGGCTCATGACTCAAGGTGATCCAGGCAATATGAATGAAATCTATTATAAAATGTTCATAAATCTTAGGAGCAGGGATTGTGAATCTTTTTTGAATGGAGGGCATATTTCAGAAATATGGGAGTTCGACAGGCAGCTTGAAGCAGCTATGATAATAATAAAGATATGCATAGACTAATATATATATTTACAACAATAACAAAAATAAATACACAATACATTAAAATTAATTTATATGAATTTTAAAGGATGTAATGTTCTAACATTTTGTTTTGTTATTGAAAGAAGGAAAATATATTTAAGAAAATATGTTGCTATACACGCTGTAACACACTATAAAATGTTGCTAACCAAACAAGAAAACTGCTAATTGCCATTGCACAAATGAAATAAACTGTTGACACACAGCAATCAGCTGAAACAAAATCATTTTCTTAATACCAACCATTCCAAAAGCCAGAATTTTTTCATTATCTTTTAATTTGAAGAAAGATTACGTAGCCTACAGTTTGAAAAGACAAGCCATGGTTGGACAGAGTATACGATGGCAGACAGAAAAAGTTCACCTTACAGGATAGTTCTACTAGTCAAAAACTGATTCATCCAGTCACCTAGAAGCTGCTAAGATTTAGTTTTATCAAAAGTTTAATTGTAAAATTTGTACAAGTCTTAAAATAGTGAAGATAAAATAGGAAATTTTATTAGGGTTGCTTATTAAAATTATGACTGTTTAGTGTCCAAATAGCTAAGATTTAGAATTTAGATATTTGAATGGTGGAAGCTCTGAGATACGAGCGCGAGCTGCGAGGTGCGCTCAGTAATAAGGTTTCTGACTGCAAAAAACTGTAAACCGATAGAAATCTATCGGCAGCTTCGTGAAGTGTATGGGGACAACATTATCACTGAAGGTGGAGTGCGTCAGTGGGTCATAAGATTTCAAAATGGCCGAACCAATGTTCACGACGAAGATCGAAGTGGGAGACTCAGCATAGTGACCGCCGAACTTCTCGAAAAAGTCGATGCTAAAGTCCGTGAAAATCGAAATTTCACAATAACGGAACTTTCTTTGAGTTTTCCACAAATTTCGCGAAGTTTGTTGCACGAAATCATCAGCGAAAAGCTTGGTTACCACAAGTTTTGTGCAAGATGGAAGGCAAGAAGAGGTAACGAAGTGGTTGAAGGCGCAGGCGGCCGAATTTTTCGACGAAGGAATTTCCAAGCTCGTACATCGCTACGATAAATGCCTTAATTTGTATGGTGACTATGTAGAAAAGTAGTATTTGAGTGTGGCTTTCATCTGTATATAATAAAATTTGTTTCCTATACTTTGTTTATTTTTTTATTCTAAAACGTAATCTACTTTCTGGATAGCCCTCGTAGTTTACAGCCATCTTGTTGCCGACCCCCTGATCTAGATAGTATATAATATAATGTCCTAAAAATATTACAGTTTTAGATTCATTAGCTTATATGAAAACTAAGTGTAGTCAAAGAACGTCTATGTAAAGAAGGATAGGCTCCATAGACGTAATGTAAACCAGTTTGCCTTCTACGCCGCTAAAAAGAAGGGGGGGGGGAATTCGCCAAGAGATTTGGAGACGGAACCTGTTGGCGAGAATTCCTCCCCCCTCTGTGATATATCGGACCTGGCCACAAATATGTATTGTTAAGAAGGAAAGCGTCGCAGCAGCAGGAGTGGCTCCTTCCTAACAAAAAGTGACACAACTGCGCATGCGTGAAATATCTGTCGCCAAAAGCGCCAAAGCTCGAAGCTGATGTCGAAGTTCGTACAGGTTCGACGGTCACGTTTATCAAGAGTTTAAAGCTGTGTGACTCCTTTTTTTTCCTACATATTGACAGATATAAAATCAGACATCAAACTGCGATATGGATAATACAAGTTCAACTAGTAAAGCAAAATAGCACGAAAATTCGAGTTTAAATTATCGCGGAAAGTGAAAGAACGATTCTTCTTAACCTGTCTTCCTCAATTTCCTGTACACGTGGCGGAGGTGGAAAATCTCGGCCAAGTGCATCACAAAGGGGGAAATTCTCGCCAACAGGTTCCATCGCCAAATTCCTTGGCGAAGTGTCCCTCTTCTTTCTAGCGGCGTAGAAGACAAACTCGTTTACATTACGTCTATGGAGCCTTTCCTTCTTTACATAGACTTTCTTTGACCTGGCCGAGATTTTAATCCTTTGCGACGTTAACAGGAAATTGAGGAACACGGGTTAAGATGAATAAGAAAATTAGGTGAAGTTTTACTTTTATTGGCTGTTGAACTTCCATTATTCATATCGCAGTTTGATGTCTGATTTTATATCCGTCAATATAGAGGGGAAAAAAAATGGAATCACACAGCTTTAAATTCTTGATAAACGTGACCGTGGAACCTGTTCAAACTTCGACATCTTTTGACGAAACTTTTTGGCGACAGATATTTCCCTTTTCGTTCGAAGGGAGCCACTCCTGCTGCTGCGAAGTTTTCCTTCTTAACAATACATATTCTTTGGAGTAGTTAGTTCCCTACTTTCGCATTTTTTAAAAATAAAAGCTGCATAGAAATGGATGTATTATCTATTCAAAATATGATTATTTATTCTTGAAATTATTACTACATTCATTCTTGCAGTATTAAATACTTGTTTAAAGTGTTGCTTCTGTATGGGTTCATAACAGACTGAATGCACACAGAACTGATGACAGCTTCATAAAATTTATTTTACGAAAAAAACACAATTAATCCACAGTTCTCGAACTTTTCACAAAAATAGTAATACAAT